TCCCTCCTGGGGGAGCAGCCTCCTTGCCCACCCGGTGCCCGTACTCACCAGCTCCAGGAACTGGAAGCCGACCACCACCCCCTCCCTCCCCGGCTTGCCGCCATTACAGTGGCAAGCCTGGGAGGGAGGAGGAATGCCACGTGCTTGGGGAAGAGGTGGGGCCAGAGCGGGGATTTGGGGAGGGAGCCAATGGGGGAAGGACGGGGTGGAGTCGGGGGGGGCGGCAAGAGCCCTTCCGGGAGGGCAAAATTGCTTGTTTGTCCAGTGTCCCGACTGCACATCGGGCGGGACGCGGGACAAACAAGCAAATATCGGGACCGTCCCGATAAAATCGGGACGTCTGGTCACCCTAAAGCCAGCGAAGTTCTTTGATTAGATCACAGACTATAGGGAGGAGGAGATGATAAGAACCACGCTCCCAGTGAATTGCTCTCCGACTCCTGTCTCCGGCCATTTAGAAAACCGGGGAAGTCCCAATTGCTCTCCGACTCCTGCCATGTGAAGTCCTTTGATTGTGAATGGTTAATTGTAGAGATTGCTATGGTGGTAGGTCCATTATCAAGCGCGGCTTGCACATGGCATGCTCCTCGGAGGGCAGGCTGCAGGTTTTCCAGGGCAGAGGCTCTGCTCCCTGGGGAGAGAAGGGAGGGAAGCCACGGCTGGCAGCTCTGTGGGCTCTCTTGCGTGGAGGGGCGGCTAAGCTGCTTTAACCCACTTCCCTGCACCCCAGCTTTCTACCCTCCCGACCCTGCTTTGGCGTGAGGACCGCGCACTCTCTGCCTCACAGTCCTGCCTGCCCCATGCTCCCCTGCCGGAGTGAGAGTCCAGCATTCAACTCCCCAGCCGAGGCGCAGGATAGACTGGCGACACGCTCCCGTTGCCCTGTTGCAATTGCACTGTGACTTGGCCCACTGCTGCATGCCAGGGACTGGAGAGGAGAGCGCCCATTTCACCTTGCGGCTCTTTGAATCCTACCCTGTCCGCCACCCCCCTCCACACCCAAACCCGGTCTGCTCCCCTTGCACTCCCCAGCCAAACCTGAACCCCCACAAAGTGTTCCTTGGAGGCAACTGCCTTCTTTGATTTAGTTCAACGCGTTTATGTGTATTTCTCAGCTTCTACACGTCGCTGGGAAATTCTAACACACCACGTATCTAATCTCACAGTTAAACCATTGAGTGAAACAAGATGGGAAAGTTGAATTGATTCCTTGAAACCTCTTCGCTATCAGCTTGGTGACATCTATGATGCTCTGATAGAGATCTATGATGACACTACTCTAACAGGATCATCTGGCAATACGTCACGAGTTGATGCAAAGGATCTTGCAAAAGCCATTTCTAGTTTCAAGTTTCTTGTTTCTCTTGTTGTGTG